TTAATAAGTATAAGGGTATTTTCAGCTACATTAGGCTCATTCTCAGAGGGGCTAGGATTGTTAGGAGTTATGGACATGGTGATAGCTTGGTGATACTTAGTAATATAATAGAAGAGTTCATACAAGAAGTTGATAGTGATATAGAATGTGAAAAAATAAGGAGAATCATAAATAAAAAAGAAGAACAGAGAGTAGAAGGGGGAAGGGGGTTAAGGGTCTTTATATATTCTAAGATTTTCATTAATAAGGTTATTATGATGTTATGAAGAATCTCATAAAATCTAAAGACATTCACTGCTAAGAGAGACTTAATATAGATAATAAACTATCTCCTCTTTCTGTATGAATAGAATAAAGACTCCTTTATATATACTATGACTGTCTCAACAGTGAATGTCTTCTTTTATATAAATAGAATAAAGACTTCTTAATAACTACTAAGACTATTAATTATCTTATATGAATCTCATTACCTCATTTTCACTCTACTATATCAATTCATAAGCCTGATAACCCTCCCCCTCTGTATAAATATCATAAGATCATCTCTTTAGTGATAATGATAAAGTCATAAAGATGAAGAAGTTTACTATATAAATAATAATGCTGATGACCCTGTGATTATTAAGGACAATGTTAAAGAAGATCCCTGTATAAATAATAATGCTAATGACCTTGATGACCTAATTAATAAGGAGGATGTTAAAGAAATTAAATGTTCACTACTAATAATTATTGTTTCGTAAAAAATCAAATTTTATTGCCGGCAGAAAACCATGAAAGTCTGCATATCCTAAAGTCCTAAAGTCGTTATTTCAGTTTTGTCCCAATGGCTTGCCGTACTGGCCCAGGGCCACAATTCTTAAACTAGAGGGACCATCAATTCTGCTCCCAAGACGCTCTTTTTCCTTTCGTCCAGGGCACTTTTGATAATTGACCATCTTAACTACACTCACCTCTCTGAGGCCGATTTTGGCTCCCCTTTCCTATAAATGGATCTACTTTCTCTACTTCCACAATGCTTCCCTCCATCCCCCGCCTTCTCCCCTTCCCCCACAGCCGACCGAGCAGCACGAATTTCCTTGCCAACCTCAGTCATTCTTTTGTCTTGTCGCAGTCCACTGCTATTTCCACGTTCATTTTTTTCATTCTTTGTGCGGCTGGTCCGCTAAGATGTTATTTCTTCATCTTGGCCTCCCTGTAAGTGCAGTTTCATTCCCCTTTCCAGTGATGTTTAGCTAACTCACCTTTTACCACGAAGATTCATCCGGAGCAGGTGCTATTTTTGGACGATGACGAATGCTCGGATGCGAGTATATCGTTCATAAGCTCTTTGAAGTAGTTGCTCACACCACTCTAGTTAGTAAATTAGTTTGGCAGGAATCTCAAACGGTTACAATCACTCCACATTGAACACATCCTGGAAGTGTTAGGAGGAGCCAAGAAAGGGGGCCATATTTGGTGGCATATTCTAGCCACAGAGGAAGCTGAGATATCATCGAATTTCCGAGATGGTTGTCCGAACATGTATTGTGTCTCAGTCAGCCTAGAGGTGATCAAATTCTCTATGCTTGGACTCATTCAGCCACTGACCCTGTGTCGCAGGAACCTGGTTCCGGGCTATTTCCCGACGCTCTAGATGAGACAAAGCTCTGCAAGGTCAGTCGATCGGAAGAACGATCCTGGTAGATTCTAACAATTTAGGTAGCTTGTTCAAGCCCTTGGAGCAGACCTCAACAAGATCCGGAAACTGGGAAGGGACCAGGTAATGTGGGTTTTTGAATGGCTTCGCGCGGCTGGCATGGTCGAATGGTTTGAGGTGCAGCAGAACCATGCATCTGTTGATGTTAATCCTTCAGAAGCATCAGGTTGCTCTCCCATCTCTAACAGCCTATTTACATTCCATCTAACCATGTATTTATATGTAGGGTGCTTCACAACAGACATTCTGCAATCTGCATCATATTTTGCTGTTGACCCTTCCCTCCTGACCAGTGATCACATATTGTTGAGACTGGTGAACCTTTCTCCCCACACTGGTGCCGAAATTGATTTTCTGCTGGAACAATGCATGGCTTCCCCAGGAGTGCTGAACGCAGTCGATCCCTTTTGTCCAGAACCCATGGCGACGCCTGTAGGAACTGCGGCATCTCCTGAAGACCCTGATCTTTTGTCTTATCCGACTCCATCTTCCTTGCTCGACTCGTCCCCAGGGGGTCCGCGGCTTGCACATCCAGGCCTTTTACATAGGATTTGCCTCAATATGGTAACATCCTATCATAGACTTTGGCTTAATCCTGGTCTATAAACGCCGGCAACTGACGTCTTTTTGGACGCTATGGAGATTTTTTCAAGGTTTAGCGATACCGCATACAGGCCCTCCCCGTTTCAGAAGAGAATATTAGAAGCCAGTAATGCCAGTATCTTAGCTTCAACTATTCAATGCAGTAAACGTCAGGGTTACATAGCCACGGCAGCAAGGGTTATTTGTGCTTTCCACGAATTGTTTTATAGAGAACTTTGTGCGAGAGGTATCAGAGTACACCTAGTTCCAATGATTTGAGAGCTGTCGAGAGGCGTTAGGTACTTTTATGTTTGTCAGTTGTCATTGGGCTAGCTGCGTTTATGAAAGAAATATAGATCTATCCAACTTCTGGCTCCTCTCAAGGTATATTCTATCCTCCAAGTTCTAACCGTACATGATCCACCGCTTGTTACCTTGTAGCAACCTGCAATTGGAGGTCACATCGTTCTCAATATCCCAAACCCAAGTGAAGGCAAATCGCAGTCCTTATGGGTGCGCGATCAGGCAGCCCAAAGCCATAGCCAGAGGACAAACGTGTACCGCTGTCAGACACATTATCATATCAATGTCATCATCTTCTTCAGAGCCAGGCGAGGAATTCAACCATGAGGAGTTTGTTTCGTTTTCTGCGCTAGTCTTCATTTCCATTGGAGGAACCATAGGAACCATGGCAGCACTCTGAGTATTGTTGCTCGGAAGATTTGCGTCCATCTTAGATTCGCCTGAGGTGGCTAGTGGTGCTAAGCCACGTGGAGGTGAGTTAATGAACCATTTATTGCCGTAAGGACACTTACCTTCAACATAACCAATCACAGGTACTTCGAGAGAAGCAACTTGACGGCACTGTAGTGTGCTTGAGTTCTGGGTTTTATAGAAACAGAATATCTAAATTTGAATATATGTTGACATTCTGCTAGAAGCATAGTAACTCTGGAAGGCACTGGCATGAAACATTGTTGACTGAAGACTAGCCCTCATAAAGCTTTGGTGCTGTATATGTGAGCCCTTCATTGGGCCTACGTCTGGTAATTTATAGTTCGCTGAGGTTTACAATGCCTGAAGCACTAGCGCCTTCAGCGCACCTCAGCCATCCTCCCAGACAGCTTTCCATTAAAATCAAGATGAGATGGGCAGATTTAAGACTTGTGGGCCCAGTTCAACGTTAAACCAGTCAGATCGCCGCTGATCACCTGCTGATCGCCTGTTCACCCCAGATTCAGCTGTCAATCGCCGCCTATCCTAAACAAGGCATAGACTATTTCGGAGCGCACTCTGTGTTTCAGCATGCTTTCCATGCACCTTCTTAAGACTTTTTGTTGATGAGAACAGGAATATTTAAAGGCCCAGGGTACTCTGGGTTTTTAGAACCACTAGTTGCTCTGAATTATTCTGCTACAATACTGTCCTTACTGCTGAAATTATTTTATGATGGCAAAGACTAGGAAAATCTACCATCACTAGTCTAATAACACAAAGGCAAAACGACAGCAACACAAATGACAAGGAAATATCTTATTCCAGAAGGTATTTAAGTTCTGCCAGGAGTGTGACGCGGATATTTCACTCATTGTTCAGTTGAAAGAGAGTGGTCAGATATATATTTTTAACTTAGATAGCCGATGGTCCCCTCGCGGGAAGACTTAGTAAACTTTTCGTCCCCTTTTGTACTTGGTGGGTTTCTAATGGTTGTAAGGCTTTTCACTATCCTGCACCTTTAAGGATAACTTGGCAGGAGTTGGCCGCTGTCTATAAGACTTGATTAGACAAATATAGAGTATTAGAGACACTATAGGATGCACCAATGCTTATCGTGTGCCGAGATACTGTATCCCTAAACGGAAAGGCTGCATAATAAATTCCTGGAGCAATTCAGGTGGATTACGGTGTTATCATATGACAGTGTGAGCTAGATGAGATTGAGGTAGTGGGAGAAACTCCGCCCACTCTGTAGTTGTTATTCGGTTGCCTGGACTGTTGCAAGCTCCTAAATATTTACCATATAGTCTTTTCCTATCTTTCAAACTAGCTATAGTAACTTATAAGTGCTGATTGTCTCTGTCGTTGTATGATTGGTAGTCCGCTTTCAAAGACAAGGAGGAGCCATGCTATGAAGGCTATCTAGAAGCAGGGAGTACAAGCCTCTGAGATTCTATCTCGGAATTCCAACTCGGGTTATCTTGACGGAGACCACCCGCATCCGATGGGGTGTCAGTACCTAGAGCACAGCCATTAATAACATTCCTAGGACGGGGAATCATAATAATGGATGATGAAGCCTCAAACCCGTCGATACAATGACAGCCGTCAAATAAATGGCTGTGCCAATTACCGGACAGTTGCCACAGAAGATTGTGGTCATGGAATGATTGCTGTTCTGGGTAACATTCTTTCTTCATACGGATAGTATGTACCACGGGTGCATCAATCATTGAAAAGGACTTTATTCGCGTTTGTAGTAAACAAGGTGCAACATCTATGCTTTGAGTACCCCCCTCTGCTACCAAATAAGGAATAAGAGCGATTTATGATTACCAGCGTTGATCATTGCGCCGCTCTTGTAAGTAGAAAGTCCACCATCTTCCTATCACCCCTCCGTACCACGCAGTCAAGCGGCGTCCATCCGTCCTTATTGGTAAAGTTTGGGGCGAGAGCTTCCTCGGCCAGAAGCAAAGGCACAACCATCCTGTTTCCGAGATCAACGGCAAGGATGAAGGGGTGATAGGAGCTCGACGAAACCGTTGAGATCCAGAGTGCTCTCCGCCAGAAGCCGTTTAACTACCGAGCAATGGCCGCTCTTGGTCGCCCACCAGAGCGGAGTCGTTCCCCATTCGTCCTTGGCATTAATATCTATACCTGGATGCGCAAGCAACATGTTTAATATGGAAAGGCATCCGTCGTACGCTGCTTGATGAAGAGCAGTAAATCCATACCTACCCCTACCTCTCTTATTGACGTCGATATCCTTGTGGCTGAGAAGTAGCTTGACCATGGACGAGTCTCCTCTCCGTACCGCTAAAAGGAGTGGCTGGTATCCATCGTAATTGTAGGTGTTAACCCACTCTGCCATATGGCAGAGTAGCATCCTAAGGATATTCGCGTCTCCGACACAAACGGCAGCACATAGCGTTGGTTGAGCGCGCTCCGCCCAACCAACATGTCGTGGAATCACGAGATCGTCCTGGTTCAGTAGTAATTCTACCATAGCAGTATCCCGCTGGCAAATAGCGTTGTTCAGTGGGGTTATCCTATGATAGTCGCATATGTTGGGATTGGCGCCGTACATTAAGAGCAGTTGAGCAGCATCCAAGTTCCCGCACTCAGTAGCGCACCATAGTGGCGTGCACTGGCTTTCGTCTTGTAACTGGATGTCAATTTCCTTCCTGGAGAGAAGCAGCAAAACTGAAGGCTCGTGTTTCGAAAGCACCGCATGATGGAGCGGGGTCCTGCCCTGTGCGTCTCGAAAATTGACATTAACCCTATCTGTATCGAGAAGAGCCTTGGCGATGCCTATATTCCCGTTGGCTACTGCCAGTGCAAATGGAGTAATTCCATGGAATGTATCTGGAATGTTAATTTCGAGATCATTTTGTTGCAGCAGCCTTGCTACTGCCGAACCTCTCCCTGCATATACAGCACGCCACATGCATGTTTCGTGCGTTCACGTCAATGTCCTCCTGGGTCAGAAGTAAGTCCATCACAGATTCAGAACCAAATGCCGCCGCAACAATGAGAGCAGTGCTTGTCTTGAGTCTGGAATTGACACTAGCTCCATATCAGAGGAGTGTCTGTGCAATATCATAATTATTATACTTCGCAGCATAATGTAGGGCAATACAGTTTTGCTGTTGAGCGCATGATCGATAAAGCAGCTTTTGTAGGATATTATAAGTAGTGTGTGTTAGACATGCGAACGACAGGATATCTCAGGAGTCATCACATTGTTCTGCAACAGAAAGCAGAATTTCGCATGGTAAATCAAGGAGGTTCATGGGGCCCGAATTAGTATCTTAAAAAAAAAAAAAAAAAAAATTCGATAATGGTAGGTAACAGGAAGAGGTGTCTCTTCAACGAAGCTGGCCTGGTACAATGCACTGAATGGGCTTAATGTAGGAAAGGTCAGGAGGCGACCGAGTTAAATGCCAACGACTTCCTAAAGATGGACTGGTTGCTTTCGCGTTTTCATTGCCCTGATGAGTCTGAAATACTCCCTCTTACTCCGTCGTCCTCATTTGCCTACCAACACGCCAGAAAGCTACTTCTGTTTGATTGGTGTTGACCCCTGAAGCACTTATGACCAATAAGCCTTTGGTTTTGCCCAAAAAGCAGCTGCTGAATTTCGGCAGCAGGAACCTTCTGGACCCCGCCCAATGACCTGTCCTGCAGACAAGCTTGAGACGGCAAGTCCGCAGCGCCAAGGCCTGTTCTGAGGGTAGCTGCTTCAGCCAACTCTTATGCGTCTTCAAATGCATAAAATGGCGCGGAAGTAAATACTCAGGTTGAAAATCAGGTGGCTAGAGCTTCTTTCAGATTTCTCAACCACAATTCTCTAACTTTCGTGCAGAACGAACGTTGGATGAGAAACAAACACAAAAAGGGTGTTGAGTCAGGACAGGAACCTTGGAGTACAGTATCATATCTGACAATTCATCTTCTGTTTCAGATTTGCTGAGCTTATAACTGACTAGTCCCACAGTCAATATGTGCTATCATCACTGTATAGTGCATGTCTTCTCGCCGCAGTCTGGGTCTGAAGTGTCTCTCTCGTCCCGTGGTCCTGAAAAGGTCTTTTGACAGATGACAGTCCATTAGTTCTCCTGCTCATCATCAGACAACTATTTCAAGAAGTTGGACGATAGAAAAGTTACCGTAGCCATCCATGCGTAGTTATCTGCATTCCTAAGGGCATCACTCTCCTTCAGATTGCGGGTTTTAAGAGGCCCATAGCTATTGGCAACGTCTATAATACTTTCTCCCAGCCTGTTTCAAGTTAATAAAGGGACGGCGAATGATTTGGTGTATGTTCTTTGGTGTGAAACTCACGCAGCCTTTCCAATAGTGTCCGCGTGCCTGTAAAACCGGTAGGTTAATTGTTAGTTATTCAGTAGATAGCTCCACTGTGTAAGCGTCACTGAAAGAGGAGTTACTCACAAGAATTCATGCAACAGAGTGGCACCCATCACAGCCATCGTAGCACCAACGGTATCTCCTAGACTCTCTTGCATTTAACATCTTTGATGAGCGGCTTGTTATAAAGGCGGTCACATAGATGGATAAGCTGATTGCCCTTTTCATCTTTACCAGTATATGCTAACAAGGTAGGGTCATCTCCACATTCTTTATTCACATCAATGTTTGTGATGTAGAGACCTCCCAGTTCATCTGCACCTCTTGCAGGGTCGCCGCCCAGTGCTTTCTGAAAAACACTTTGGACCTTGCTTTTGTCAGCTTCGTTAAAATATTGTTTGAATACGCCGTCGTTAAGACCGTTGATAACGTAGTCCATCAGCTGGAGACTGTCACGGAAGGCTTGTCGTATCTTGAGGTTCTTTTTTCGGTCATCGGCGTTGTTATTGTCAAAGTTGACAAGTCGCGGCAATGAACGTTTAGTTATCTGGCTTCGAGCTTCAAGTTCCAGCGCACTGATAAAAGACTTAATGCAATTCTCCAAAGGGGTTAAAGGGGAACAAGGGGAACAAACTCCGTTGGGTAAGCCACTGATCCGATTGCCAATATGGCTGAAATAGCCACAGCGAGAGTAAGAAAGCTATGCATCTTGGAGGAAGTGCTATCAAAGAGCTTAAATCTTATGACAATGCAAAAACTCAGAGTATCTCAGATTCTTTTGAAGATAGAGATACTGTAGAAAGGGGTGTGTACCACCCCCTTTTTATATTTCATGGCCCAGAGCACATATCACGCTGCAAGCGTCCTATGACCCAACCCATTGACGTTTTTCCTGACCAAGTCACCAAAATGTGCATGTGCTTGTCACCAACAGCCATGATGTCCAGTGCTCTGGCATCGTGCCAAGGAGCAAAAAACTGGATGAATACCCTGTTGACTATAACATATGGACGTCACTGTGATCTCCCAATCTGTGAAAGATGCAGGGGTGCGGGCACATGTTGTCAGTGAGGTGTTTTTCGTATGCTTCCGGCGCCAATAAATCAATTAAGAGCAGCTAATGGCTGAGCACCATTCTCGGGAAGTGCCATCGCCCTTTGATATACGTACCGACACCAGCCCTGACTGAGAAAGAGCGAACGTCAACCGTTGACGTGATACACAGATTTTGTCCCAGAGCCATCCGGGAAATACCGCAGCGGTTACGGCGGGGCACCCATAGGAGACGCATAGACGCCTTCAGGTAACCTGCTGAAAGAATTACCTCAGAAATGGGGCATCGGCTACGTTAGCTCCAGCCTGCGCCGCAGCAGAATGTCGTCAGCGTTGACAAATGGATTTGAGGAAATTGGATGAGAGTCATTTTTGCCAGTAACAAGTCGCTAGGCTTCAGAAATTCCCTTTCGATGCGGAGCTTGCTAAGAAGGTGCGCTGCCCGATCAGTATGTCGGCAGGGCTCCATTGAAGCTCTTTATGTTTTATATACTACGATCATGTTAGGTGCTCGCTTCTATGCAAATGGGTTATGTGCACATCAGTGTCATTACTGGTCAACTGTCCCATCTAGATCCGAAAACAAGCTTGCCTATCTTAAATCCTATAAGTTCCTACTCTTCGACAGTGAAGCTAGCGGAACCCTGCATCACTAGGGGAATTGGTTGTATCTCACTGTCCCCTACTAGCTCTCGCCGTTGTTTCGCAAGACCACCCCCAGCACCCTGTCCCTCCAGAACCTGCTCCTTTGGCCCATATCGATACCAGGGTATCAGATTCAGCTTATTTCCGAGCTCAACACGATATGTCGATCCCACTTCCAAATGTGTGACTTGAGAAAAGCCCGCAGCAACTATGGCCTCATCCTCATTAGTTATAACTAGCTCCCCACACGCAGCTCTAAGCCGCTCAGGGTTGTCTTTATTGTGTGGCTGGTTCCTGGGACAGGGCCATAAGGTAAATATCACTTGGTGAGGCACGCCAGGCTGAAGGGTAACAAAATACCGCCCAAACTCGGGTTCGATGGGGATATCAGACACCCCACCAAAGCTATAATGTTTGGTCAGGCTTGGACGGCGCCTGTATCGACGTTGATAAAGTCGAAGCCGTTTTCATAAAGGGCTATGCCGCCAGGGTCAAGGAGCGTGCCGAATACAAGGATGGTAAGCGGCTTGTCGGGCGTATTCGGGGTTTGAGGAAGGGTTGCCTCAAGGGTAATGTGGAATTCGTCGTCGGAACTGTGTTTGTGTAGTGTGGATGATGAGACAGTAACAGCGACATTGATGTGGGTTGGGGGTGGAATTTGGGCGTCCCCAAAAAGAAAAAGCTTTCGGAAAAGGTTCGCCATGATGATATCTGGACAAAATTAGAATTTGTTAAACTGAACTAGATGTGTTGATCAGAGTTGTTTTATATTCGCCGGCAAGATCCTGGCTGGTGGCAAAAGCAAGGCAGATGCTTTAAACCTCCGCAAAATTTAGTTAACTCGGGAGCTACTACTGAGATCACCAGTCAAATGTACTATAATTGGTCTAGGCCAGGAGCGGAGATGAAAATGAATGTGATATGTTTAAATCATAGGGGGAAACTCAACCCTATCTATATCCGTTTGGGCATTTGTGAGTGGATATTACCTACTTATGTTAGTAGTTAAAACGGTTATTTCTCTACCCATCTTGACTTAGATATACGTACAAAATATCATCATATTCTGTACTGGCATAGTCTAGTAAACACTTATTTGACTTTCAGCCCCTATTCATTTCAATTTTTTTTGAGGTTAGGAGAGGCTTTCTAGGGTAGTATTGTCTGTCACTATCGACGTCCTATTAACGATACATCCAGTTCATAAGGAAGGGTAACCACATCTGATCTCGTAGACTTTTACCACGCAGAAGTAGACATTAAATGTTACCTCAACAGTGGTATTACCAACATTCTACTCCAGTAACTACTCATACTGCTTTGTAAGAGAGATATAGTCAACCATTGTTGCGCTAACACTCATAACTACGTAAGCGTTCTTAGGCTGATATACCATCCCTTGTAGATTGAAACGAATTGGGTTCGCTTCTAATCATATGGCCCCTATAGCCTTGTTTATGAGCTGTCTTCAGTCACACGCCTCTCAAGTGTCTCCATGGAAATTGTTGCCTCCGACCCTAGTTCGCCACACAGCCTGGCTTGGCTGATCCACCTACATTTGTACACCAGTCCGGGATCCTGCAGTAGTTCTTACCCCGCAGAGATACAGGGGGCGCGATAGGGGCTCTGTTTTTCTGATTTTGATTGAAGTGGAGGTTTTATCGTTTGTGGTCTGATGTTCCCAGAATCCTTGGGGACACTGGAAACTGCTTCCATAAAATCCTTGGCTGGCCGACTCCTGTCCAACCTATCAACCAACCTCATTTGTCCTCCTCTTGATGCCCGGGCTGAGGCTTGTCAGGTATCCTGGTCTCGGCGCCGTCTCGTTGGTCACTATTTCCATCAACCTGCCACGGGTGCCCTTAGACCTGTCGCCAACCTGTTGCCTCTTTTGTTGGCTTCGATGGCCTGCTAATTGTCTTGGATGCCCTGGTGTGAGGCAATCCATTGAATGCGGAAATTGAGTCCCCCGTCTCGTCTTTGTCAAATAGGGTGAGTTTCCAGGATAATATCCTGATTGTTAGCCCGGGATTTGTGCTGCTTGTAACGCTTGACTCGACAATGACCACAACGCGTGACCAAGGACTGCGCCACGCGCTATACTGTTTAGCCTTTTTCCTTTTTCACGCCACTAGCATGGGGTCTTCAGCAGGAACTAGATGAAAGCACTCGAGCTAATTGCTACTACTTGTACCTGAACTGCTTGAACGTCGCTCTTGGGAACGGAGAGGTCAACCTCGCGATGCAAGGGTGAGTAGGAATAGAAGGAATACTGAAGAATATAGCGAGAAAACTGGCAGAGGTTGGCATGGACTTAGTGGGAGCCTTTAGAGGCACTCGTAGACTATGTATCCAGCTCAGTGAGTGATGTGTGCACTCAAGAGTTATGCAGTTACTCAAGCCTTCGATATGTAATTCTCCGTGTACAATTGCCAACGAATGGCGGACACTGAAGCCGATTACAACCGTTTCCATCTGTCCTCAGTTTTCATTGGACGATCGATGTGCGCCGATCCACCGCTGAGGGAAAAAAACACAACAACTGGTTGATTGCGGGTCTCAACGGTCTCGGAACCTAGAGTACAGTTTAGTACAGGAATCGATCAATGCCGTCAATCTGGGGAAGCTCCGTCAATTATTCCATGACGTCAGCTGCCTGATTAGTTAGTTTGTGGGCTGATATTCTTGACAAGGGTGAATCCCAACTTCAATCATGTAAATTCCGGTAATTCCGCGCCACACCATGCTACTTGGGCGTCAAGGCAAACTTTGGGAGGATACCTTCTAAACTGGTTAGCATGGCTAATTCTCGGCTACAAACAGTTGAGATGAAAACATACTTCCAGAAACCGGGATCTCTAGGCATATTGAACCAACTCCGTTATGAGACCGTGGGAACTGTTGACTGAAACCGTGACTAGCAAGAAGGAGCAATTTACTGTGGGGCGACGGGGGGTGTTATCTTGTGCAACAAGACGGTGCGCAGCGCTCTCGTGAACTCGGCGCGATCCTTGACCTACAGCGGTGCGCCGTCGGTGCCGATGGTGGCCTCTATCCGGGCGGGTTATCACCTGCTGATGAGCGGCGAGACCCAGAAGGTATTTGAGAGGTTCCTTTTCCCTCCACGGAGTGCCGGGACGTATGCTGATGCTGACGCGCCGTGTCAGGAACAAACCGCCATCCAGACCATTGTGAAATACTTCTTCCAGACCCTCCTCGACCACCCCGTCTGGGGAGAAGGTATGGACGAGGGTCTCATCGACGTCCCCCTCGCCGAGGACTGGGAAGGGCGACCCTTCCACAGCCACATCGTGCCGTTGCGAACCAGGAATGGTCATGAGCACTACCTGTTCGCCCACCTGGCCATGGCGAACATGAACGCTTACGCCATCTCGTACCCCATCGTGCCGAAGGGAACGGGTCGCATCCGGCTCGTGTTCCATGCTCATAATACCGAGCAGGAGGTGGATAGGCTGGTGGAAACGGTGGCGGATTGGGTGACTGAGATGCTGGAGCTGGAGCGCAGTGGATCGAAGCATGCGTTGCCGAGGGCGGCGAGGGCGGCGTATTCCATGGGGCTGTCGAGCTAGTAGTAGAGCTTACATTTAGATTGAGTGGGTGGAATCAACTTGCTTGCTGTCTGCTATAGCTAGACGTTGAAGCAATCTGAATGGCACAATGTCAGAACTAAGCGTCCTAGTCATGAAGCCATGTAAGCACGTCATCTCCACTATTGTTCAATGGCCAACCAGGTAGAGACATGGTGGTGCAACAGCACACGGCCGCGCTGGGTGATTATGTATTTGACCAATGCGCGTATACTTACATTAGGATCAAGAACTAACTGCCTGTTATGTACATTAGCAGGTATGATGAGATGGTCAATCTTTGAAGAACGTGATCTACATATGCTATTGGGCACTCCTAGCATACAGCAGGATCGCAAGGATAAGGCGTGCGACTCTGTCGCAATACACGCTCCTCGTGCCGGCGAACTCCGTCAGCAGCGACCAGAGAAACGGCATCTGCACGTCAAATTAAGCTACCGTCAGTGAAGCCGTACACGGTTTCTCAAAGCTGTGTCCACTTACCAAATCCGGTGCGTTCTCCATCTGCTCCAAGAGTCCCGATTCTTCTGGTGGGGTCAGGCTTTGGATCCCCGTCTCTCCGAACATGCCCACCTTGTGACTAGACAGTAGCGACTCCAGCGCTGTGATGAGGGAGGCCGGCTCGTTCTCGCCGCAAACCTGTACGCTGCGATTACTGAAACGGTTCAGCTCGGCCACGCAGAGGGTTGCTGTCGTTCGACGCGGCAAAGCGACTGTTACTACCATTCCCACACTGGATTTTGCGTAGATATATATGTAGAAGTGTATGGTGTCGCGGAACTAACTTACCTGAGCCTTTGCAGATACTCTCCTGGAGCCCTTGTGACTCCCACCGCAGCCACTGCTGGCTACTCCGCTGGACGGTCTGTAGCATCGTCTTCAATCGACGGCCACGGCTGGCGCATTGTACCATGGCCGGGAAGCTCCCTTTGTCCAATCGCGCGGTGTAGTACGCAACCGCCGTGTCATCGAAGTCCTGAAACCCCGCGGTCCGTATTGCTTCGAGCACGATCGCCAGCCGACGCGTGACATCCGTCGCTTCAGCGGCGCCGAGTTCTGCGGCTGCGAGCTCATCCTCGCCCCGCAGCGGGTCTGGTTGCGCTGCTGCGTAGGGGATTGAGTGGAGTTCGCTGGTCGGTGACAGATGAGGGGTAGGGTGCATTTGCGACTGCGACTGGTGGAATCGTTTGAGAAAGGTCGCGTCTATGGCGAATGTAGACCCAGATGGATTCTTTGCGCAGGTTGTTGAGTGGGAGAGATTGTAATTGGCGCGGGAACCGGCAAGGCAGGAGGGACATGGCGAGGTACTAAGAACGTTTCAATGTGAGGGAGAGCTGACGGCGGTTGGTATACTACTCGAAGACGCACCTCGAGGTAAAGAGTTTGTATTGATTTTGTCGCCTCTGCGGAACACTGTCTGCTGAATGGTAGTTGTGGTGAGAGGCTGTATGACTTCCGGACGTACTAACGCTGCTGCCACAGGCGCAGATTGAGGATGTCGAGCCTGACTGTGACCCTCTGCCCTCATTCCCAATAAGTGTGGGCAGCGTGATGATTGGGTCCACGGGCAGCCAGAGCGGGTCATGGTCATTATCTGTCAGTGGATGCTGCATCGCGCTTCTAGAATCGGCCGACACAAGCTGTGAAGGGCTATCGATATCCTCTGATGGGTCGTTGCCCCTCTGCAAGTCTTGCGTATCACTGTCAGTCTGACTCCCGCCTGCTGCCTCTGTCGTCTGGGTACTCGCTTTAACCCTCTGTCCTGTCTCAAGCTCCTCAATCAGCTGTGTGTCGTGCACATTGAGCAGGGGGTGTCAATGTGGATGCATACGGTGTTTACGCTGCGATAGTCTGTTCTGGAGTCTTTCCACGCATCGGATCCACTGGTTAGTTGGTACATCCCAGGCAGAAAGAGTGAAAACTCCTACCTCCTCCTCTCCACAGCCCTGGGGCTAGTCGACCGACCTGACTTCCTGGTAGCTTTGGATGGCTCTGCAGTCGAGAGCATGCTATCTGGTCTTATCCTGTGAACGGTTGTCTTGTCCTGCTGGTGCTGGTGCTGCACCAGCAATTGGAAAACATAGCTGATGATCCAATTATTTATAACCGTCTCCAACTCATCTCACCACTGTAGACAGAGCACCTCACCTTCTCTCTAACCCTTTCGACGGTACTAGTCTAGGGTATAATGAGCCACTGAGAGGGGGGGGAAAGGGGGAATCTCATGGGGCTCATACAATGCCAATGCGCTAACGCAATTTGAGGAGGACTAATTTTGCTTACTGCAGGACCGGCGGGTGGCCAAATTGGCCCTGATAAGAATAACGGTGATTATTCCCGTCAATCAGAGTCAACGCCGAGCCAGAGCTAGCCCCGATAGACTCTCGGAGACCGACGGATTCTAACTATCTGTAGGCCAAATGATGAGATAAGAAGCTGAAAAGAAGGACTTTTGTTCCCTTAAGGAGGAAAGACCCGTAATGAAAAAGCGCTGCGGCCCAGGCCCATTGGTTGGGAATTACGTCTTCTGGCGGAAATGACAGTACATAAGAAAATTAAAACAAGCAAAATGTGAGCTTGCTTGAACGTGATGCTGCATGGATAATGTTGTGTCAACTGAGCGGGGAACCCTGTTAGAGGTTAGTGACACCAATACCGTATTGCTTCAGACGATGGTCATAGTAGTGGTAAGGAATATAAGTGTATTAGCAGGGATTGCAACTAGTGCTCTGTATGAGGATGTCCACACATAGTATCCTGTGTGTACAGAGTACATAGCATGATGAACCATTCACAAGAAGACGACCAACACACCCAATATGGTCAACGTGGAAAGCATGCATCCAAAGTCTCCTAAATCCGCGACTGAGAGCACGGTTCAAGACTCAAGGGCTCCAGGCATGAAGTCCAAGACTAGGCGACAGCGAAATACCCAAAGGCATCTGGCTCATCAGATTTAGTTTAATAATTGTTTGCGTCCAAGCAAGTCAGGGGCCACCGTCTGATGCCTGCACTGGGCCCGATACCACTCTACAGACCCGACAGTCTGGATGAGGGTGTGATAGTTGAGCATTAGCAGCTTTACGGACGAAACCTTGCGAGTTGAGCGGGCAGGCAGGACGGTCAGTATTATGAGTATGAGGTGGCGAAAGTAGTAAGGAACACAGAGCGCGAGTGGAGATTCCTTCTAATAATACCAACCTCGGCGGCATATCAAGAACTAGCCGCCAATAGTTATCTAATTGTTCCCACGACATCCATGAGATCCGCGGGAGAGCCGTCCTCTCAGTTGAATCACTGAAACCAGCATATTATTTCACTTTTGTGCCTGATGCTTGTCCAATGCTAACTCACCTCTTCCGCCCAATACTTCGGGAGAACAACGGCCATATTCTTAAGGTGAAAACGCACTGTTGGTGTTGGTGCGGCTGAAGGAAAGAGAGGGAATGACATGAGCGGAGATCGCCGCCCCTTCCTGACCAAAGCGTATCATCCCTGCAAGTCAACTACTCAACCAAATTACGCCACAAGGTTACCACTGGAAAACAGCAAAGATGAATGAGAGGCACTGAAGACGAGAGTGCCCAAGACACAAGCCAACCCAGCTGAAAATGCCGGGCAAGCGTATCTAGATTATTATCTACTTCCCGCGGCGCTCGACCTTGCTGTGGCTGAGCAACCCCTTGGTAAGGAACAGTCTTTAAGTGACCTTTATTTTATACTAGTCTTCTGATGTGGATATCAGCGTGCAACAGGATGGAAGTTCTATGTTGATCACACCACTTTTCCTTTAGTGGCTTTATCCAAGGATTAAGACTAGCCAAATGTATTTTAACTAGTAAGTGACCCTTTATGACCACCACATCCTTGTTAGATGACTTTATCCTATTAAGGCAGGCGCCTCGGCCATGGTGGAGAAAATAAGGTCGTTACTATTTTAATGTTGATGTCTTATGTAGGACTAGCCGACCGACTTGTTCTTATTCTGGCGTGACTGTGCCGTTTTGTAGATAAATGGGTGTGTCCTTTCTGTGGTCAATAAGGTCGAAATCCAACCTATCAAACCTTATCGAGTCTACCGATACTGTACGTACCTTAAGGTAGGTACTACAGTAGTTATATTAAGCATGACAGGTCGAGATATGGCTGCGGCGAACTCAGCACCAGGGTATTTCATCTTCAACGAGTTTTGATCTGTATCGATCCCTAAAAAGGCAGGAGTCCATAAAGAATAAGTAATAATTGAAGTTTGTTAGAGATAATACAGGTTCAGAAACTTCAGGTCTACTATTGTTCCTTTATACCTTTATATAAGTTTTAAGTATACTCGTCTCTTCCCCCCATTTTCTCCTCATCACTAGAATCTATGCCCAGTATAAGTAGAGCAGGATAATGGAAATAGTGGATCAACTCTTAGTACTGGTGTTTGTTGGCGATACGCCCAAGTAAATGAAAAATCATTATATGAATACCCCTCTCGAGTTTCTGACAGCTCTCATTGGGGATTCAATTCAACGTACATGATTAGGAAACCACTTTAACGCTTTATCATCCCTCTGAGACTCACATAGGCGCAACAGAAAATATAATTATAGAGGTAAATTGGAGACAACCGCCTGCCAAAATTATGTATTTAAGGAAGATTGTTTGGGATTGGCCCGAGGGTGCATAGCTACCTAGCCTGAGACCTTGTATCTACCATCCTCCAGTTCTACCTTATTAATCTATCAATGCCGTGGTGATTTCCCGCGGACCCTACGATATCATTGTGCGATTTTGGTGGTTCCGGTTGGCTACTCCGAATACCTGGCTGGACGAGTGCGAGGACTCTACTTCGATTGTCTAAAGGAATGCTACAATGCTACCCACGGACTCCCACCTAATGTACTTGTATGTACAGAAGGTGGCTTTAGCTACTTAGCGGCAATTAATTCCGCCACACGTGTAGAATCCGTCGCGTTGATAAGTCCTGACAAGATCTCCCCGGGCAGACCAGCCACGGCCTTCGCCCAGTATAGATCCACCTTCTCCAAGTGAACCTCAAACTCCGTCGCCACATGCTCACCCCGCTGGGTGATGTACCACGACAGCGCATAATAATGCTTCTGGCGGTCCTTGTGGCTCCAATTCCGCGACGGTTCGGGGACGTCCAGGAAGCAGAGCACGTTGGATGTGTTCGTGCGGGGATCGGCCATCAGAGATGGAGGCAGCGAATGCGTGAGCCCATCGAACTCAATGATATCGAGAGTGGTCTTGTGCACCGTCGCGAGCCAGTCGTGGACGGTTGCGTCCTTGCCAATTCTGGTGCTGAATAAAGAGCGACAGAGAAGGGGTCCGACAACGGAGAGGGCCGATGGCCACGGGACTGTGCGGCCCGAGAGACTAACGGAGAAGCCGACGCGGGTCCACGAGGTGATTCTATGGAGGAAGAGCGCCCATGCAGCGTAGATCATTGTGCTGGGGGTCACGGAGAGACGGCGAGATGACGCGTCGAGGGCGGCCCGGGTGATGGAAGGGGATGACTGGAGACGGATGAGATTGAGGGCTTCCGGCGGGGGAGGTTCCTTCGGGGCCGGGGGTTGCAGGACGCATGAGGCCGGTAGGGGCTCTAGCATCTTGGTGAAACATTGCGTCGCCCGCTCGATGTTGGCTTGTGTGTAGCTGTGCATGAACCGCGCGAAGTCCTCGAACCGGGGGCCTGGTGCTACTTCGCCACCTGCTAGGGCAGTTTCCAGATCCTGCGACAGGATGGCAGAGGAGAACACATCGGTGAGGACGTGATGGATCCGCGTCACAAAGGCGAGTGCTCTGCGGCCGGGCACAGAGATGCAGGTCACCGCGCAGTACGGGACTTCGTTGTCGGCGCGCGTCGTCCTGCTCACGGCCTGCCATGATTCTTCTTCGGCTGCCTCACAGGCTTGCTCGAACTCGTCTTCAGACACGCTGACCTCGTCCCAGGTGAGATTGAGTCGGCCTAGGTCGGAGAGGGTGAAGTCGGTTAGATCAAACCGCGTGCGGAAGATACTGTGTGCTGAGAGCGTCCTTTCCATAGCGCCACGCAGCTCACTGGTTGTAGGAGTTTGGGAGGAGTCGCCGATGTACTTGGTCAGGCCGATGATAGCGAAGGTATGTGGTGTCTCTAAAGACCGGGTGAGGAAGAGC